AGATGTGTCTTTGTTTATAAAGCATATGTAGCCATATTCTTTACAAAATGTGCTTGCTGGGCAAAATCTTTGAAATAAACATGCACTTAGAGGAAGAAATAGTGAAGAGTCTGGGTAATCACTAGCCTGAATACTTACACAATTAGGTGAGTAAAATGGCACCTCATACATCAGTGCTGAACTAAGGTTGATTTTTATGCTGCATAAACTGAAGGTATTTATCATTTGTGTTATTAGTTAATAGTGATTAACTCTGTGGTAAGTGCTATTTATGTGTGTGTCAAGCTAAACGTACTTTAATATTTGATACTTCTTTAATATCATCTAAGCTTATTATAAAAAGAAATCTAAGTGAAAGTCTCATAAACTCACTTCAGACCAAGACCACACATGAGAACCTTCAGCTTAAAAGGAAATTGGAAGGCCAGAGGGAAGAAATTACAAGGAAATGAATGATGTTTTAAAACTGAGGTACTATAACTAGAGTGCAGCTACTAAGATATTAAAATACTTAGACATTTAAAAGACACGGTTAATTGACATTTACTCTACAAATGCATTTACATGAAAATTTGAAAAGTATTTGATCAAAGCAGAGCTTTCGGATTTCTTTGGTTACCAAACTATTTTACTTCAAGTATTTAGCAATGTAGTGAAGAATTTGACCCTTATATTACATAATGTCCATTAAAGGACAAAAGTAAGAAAGAAGCACATTTATGTTTTTAATAGGAGATATGTCTTCTTCCTTCCTTGCTTCTAGTTTTTTTTTTTTTTTTTTGCCATGGCCAAGAGAAAACTAAATTTCATGTTCAGCGGAGGGAAACAAGTTATTTCAGTTTAATTACAAGGACATACCTTTCACTCTATATTTTATTCATATTTTAAATTATTAAGTAGTGTGTCTTTAATTATATATGTTACATAAAATTCCTTTTAGCTATTTATGACAAATAAATTACAGGTAAAGGAATGACCCTGAGATACATAGGTTTTTGCATTTGCTATTTTCATTAGTTGTCTGTTCTTTAGTGAATAAGCACATTATGTAGGCAGACTATTAGGATATCAACAGTCACTCCTACATAAAGAAGAACATTGTAAGAAACTTGGAAGAGATTGAGAAAAAAATATAACTTCAATCAAGAGGAAAGGCTATGAGTTATTTTTGGAGACTATCCTGGCTGAGTTCATATTTATTGGAGAAGCAGAGGGTCGTTGAATTGGATAGTTTCTTTTATCTCAACTTATTTCTCTCCCCATCCTTAATGTAGAGAATACCTTCATGCGAAATGCCTTAAATTTTGTCCTAATTCTGTATTTTCCCTAGAATCACCTTGCATCTTTATTCTGTGATCTGCTTCTTCCTTTCCTCCTTACCTTGCTGGTCCTCATCCTTCTTCCCTGTGGTTCCCCTATTTTTTTCCCTCCTTTTACATATAAGAAAAGTGATACTCAGAGGCTTGAAGCAGCTTGACAGAGTTTACACAGCTGCTAATTGGTCTCCTGACTCTTGCTACATTGCTCTTCCCGAGTTTCTAAAGGAGTTCTTTCTTAGAACATGATACTGCCAGACTGAGGTATAGTTCTCATTTGCTTGAAGTGTATATGTTTTCTGTTTAAACTACAATGTCCATGGGTCAATATTTAGGGAATTCATATCTAATTGTGTCAGTTTAAAAAAAAATATTTTAAAATATTGAAATATTTCCACATTGGTCAATGAGTAACCACTGCCTATGCACTGTTCCCCTTTTATTTCAGCAGCCCCCAAGAATCTCGGGCCCCACACCCAGTTAGCAGTGCCCTTACAACTCTGCTTGGTAGCAAATGAGGCACCTAGCTCCCAACAGTTGGATGAAGGATTAGTAAAGCACTTCAGGTTTTCATACTGAGCTACACTCTACCATATTTGTCTTTAGGGATTTATTTCATTTTCATAATAGTGATGAGAGGGAGAATTTACTTGATTCCAGGCTTTGCTCATCTTCTCTTTCTAAACATTGTGTGTGTGTGTGTGTGTGTGTGTGTGTGTGTGTGTGTGTGTGTGTGTGTGTGTGTGTGTGTGTGTGTGTGTGTGTGTGTGTTGAGAAATGTCTGGAAACAAGAAAGAAAGTTATTATGTAGTATCAAACTTTTCTAGGACCTAAGTTCACTTTAAGTTTTGCAAACATAATCCTTATAAAGATCATATAAAGTTTCAATTCTGGAGTAACTCAAAGAATCTACATATGTTTTATGGATTTCAAATGTGGAAAATTATTGTTATACCTTTAATAAGTTCTTGACTTTTTTGTTTAGTTTGTTAATATGGAGAATCACATTGATTGCTTTTCAAATTTTCAAACCACTTAAGAATTCTGGGGATAAACCCCACTTAGACAGGATGTATTAGCTTTTTACTTACTTTTGCATTTGATTTGCTTAATTTTTATTTAGACTGTTCATATCCATGTTACGAGAGATATTACTCTGTAGTTTTCTTGTTGCATCCTAGATAGGATGTAGTATCAGAATAATGCCATATAAGATAATATTATGTATTCTTTGTTTTTCTAGAAGAGCTATGTGGAACTGATATTTGGTTTTTAAAATATTTGATAGAATAATCAAGTGAAGCATTCTAGTTTTCTTTTGTGGGAAGATTTTAAAACAAATATTCAATGTCTATTATAGATACAGGGCTATTCAGGTTATTTATTTTTTTCTCCAGTGAAATTGATAGTGTTTTTCAAGGAACTTGTTCATTTTCTTTAGGTTGTTCAAGTAATTTGAAAAGGCTGATCATATTGTGTTTATTATCCTTGTAATAGTTACATAATCTGTAATGATGCTACCTGTGTGGGTTTTTAATTTTAAATAACTTTCCAACACTTTAAATAAGTTTATTCTCTATCTTTTTGCCCATATTGTTTCTTATGGTATATTTGCTGTCACTCTTAGTTGTTATTCTGTATATTATTTGTATATTTTACTCCAAATTTAAGTATTTTCTCTTTATTATATGTTTTGAACAGTTTGAATATGATATATTTTGATATAGTTTTATGTTTTCTGTGCCTGAGTTTCACTTCCCAGTGAACCTTGGACTTGTGGATTTATATATATCATGGAATTAATTTCCTTTAAATATTTTTCTTCTCTCCTCCCATTATCCCACAGTTCATTAATACTGTTTCCCTCTGTATTATTTTTTGAGTAATTTCTTTCTCTCTTCAAGTTTACTAGTATTTCTTTGGCATTGCCTTCTCTGTTATTTTAGCCCGTCCTATGCATGTTTCATCTTACACAATGTAGTTTTCGCTTCTAGAGCCCAATTTCTATTGTTTTTGTATCTTTGATATTTCCACTTACGTTTTGAACAAATGATTACATTTTTAATGACTGTCTTAATGTTCTTGCCTGCTCATTTTAGCATCTGTTTCAGTGCTAGTTCATTTTAGGCTGACTGCTTTTTCTCCTCACTTTGGTCATATTTTTTGAATGCCAGATAATTTTTTTTAATTGAAAATTAGTCATTGTGAATTTTAACTTATTGGTTGCTAAATACTTACGTACTACTGTAAGTCCTGCTTTTTTCTCAGCGCAATTAAGTTATTGGTGAAAGTATTTGTCTTCTTGGGTGTTGCTTTTAATATTTGTTATTATTAGGACTAGAGAAATATTTAACTTTGGACTACTTACTTCCCAGTACTGAGACAACACCCTTCTGGATACCCTAATGAATGCACTTAATTTTATAAACTTTTGTAGTCAGGCTGGTAGGAACAGGTGTTCTTCTGGTGACTGCTCATCACTGTTACTACCAGGTCTGTTGGGTATTTCTTTCCTGGCCTTCGTTCCCTTACTTGTACATGTTAATTTCTCTGCTGCCAAATGGTTAATGGAAACCCCCTGCAGGTTTTCAAAGTCTGCCCTCTGCCCTCTTCTCTCTGGTAGTCTGTGAAGAACACTCTGTTTCATTCTCCTTGGCATTCCTAGCTCTCTCTTCTCCAGTGTGGGAGTCCATCAGGCTCCTCCTGGGCTCCACCTCCCTATGCTACCCCAGAAGTGCAACAACTTTGCTCTCCATTTCTCAGGATTATTAGCCTTTATTTTCCTCAAGTCCGGAATCTTGAAAACCATTATTTTGGCCTTGCTTTGTTTGTTTCAGAGTTCCAGTTGTTTCAGTCAGAAAGGCAAACTCAGTTCTTGTTACTTCAAATATGTCGAAAGCTGGAGTTCCTTGATATTTGGTACAGAGTGGAAGTGGGAAGACTTTGAGACTGCATCCTGAAGTGCTGTCCTCAGAGAGTAAAATTCAGAATAGACGGTAGTACTTTCACTATTGAATACATCTTAATACTTTTCTTTTCAGAAAATAAAAACTTATTCATTTTTAAAAATAGGAAAAGCATACAAACAACAACAGCAACAAAAACTGTGGACACACATGCATTTAAGTTTTTCTTTAATGAGTTAGTAAAAATATGAAATATTCATAGGCAATGCAATAGATTATAATTAGGTGGTTCCTAAAGCTGTGTCTCTGTATGAGTAATTATCTTTAAGGAATGTACACAAAATGAATTCATACCGTTTGTAAGACTTTCTTTATTTTATGCCTTTGTCCTTCATACATTATGATGATTATGACGGAGTTTCATGCTTTATTAAATTTATTATGATGGTTGAAGGATGGTAAGGTTTCGATTTTGTTTTAAAAATCATTACCTGATAAGCCTGTGGCTCAGTGGTAGAACATTTGCCTAGCACCTGAGAGGCACTGGGTTCTATCCTCAGTACCACATAAAAACAAATAAGCAAAATAAAGGTATTGTGTCCATCTACAACTAAACAGTTTCTTTTAAAAAAGTCATTACCTGACAAAAGTACAGGAGGATGGTTCATGTTGTATTGATTTCCTCTAAATATTTTTGTTTTAGTGTTCTGTGCTTCAGTAGTTTGGAGACAATTGGCTAATCACAGGTACTTTTAGCCTTACATATGTTTTTTTTTTTTTAAATATGGAATGCTTCATGAATTTACATGTCATCCTTGCATAGAGTCCATGCTAATCTTCTCTATATCATTCTAATTTTAGAATATGTGCTGCTGAACTGAGCACATCCTTACTTACTTTTTATTCAGAGATTGATTAACAATAGATTTTATTTAGGAAAACAAAAATGTTTCTCTTTCTGAGTATCTTTATTTAGGGGATAGTGTATTCTGACCTATACAACTCATACATCATGGACAATGGACACATCTGAATGGCCAGTTTCTTCCTTTTCTCCATAATAGATATGCAACTGAACCCTTGCTCCAATACTTCAAAGCAGTATTAGGAGGTGGATTTTTTTTAAAAATTTGATAAGTTCCTAATATTGTTTCTGTATTACAAGAAAACAGGAATTAACTTGGTCCTTGCCCTCTTTATACAGCCAAGGAGAAAATTGCCTTATGATGATAATGAATGGGTTAATAATTAATGTACAAAGAATTATATCTTTTATTTTTTACAACTGTGTTCAAGGTGCCCATTATTATTCTTATTTTTTAAATGAAGAAATTGAGTCTTAAAGAGTTCAATAACTGGGGCTGGGGATGTGGCTCAAGCGGTAGCGCCCTCGCCTGGCATGCGTGCGGCCCGGGTTCGATCCTCAACACCACATACAAACAAAGATGTTGTGTCCACCGAAAACTAAAAATTAAATATTAAAAATTCTCCCTCTCTCTCTTGCTCTCTCTTTAAAAAAAATATTTAAAAAAAGAGTTCAATAACTGCTCAAGGTGTCACAGTGAAGGTGAAGCTCTAGATGAGACCCCAGGGTGTCATAAACCACTCATAAACCACTGAGATTAGATAAATTCGCTGCCTCCAAGTGAGAGGATGAGATTTTAATTTTTTTTTCTAATAGTGGCACTGTTCCTCTGCAGACACACTCAGAATCTCCAAAGCAGAGAAACGACTCTATTCTGTGCACTATTTATCGCTCCTGTTATTATTCAGAGCTTTTATTTAAAAAGGAGAATGATAAATTACACTCTTGTTGAAATAGGCCTTTTAGACCTTTGAAGAGTTGGAAACCAAAGGAAACAGACATTCCACAAGAAATGTGACCTATTTTTTTAAAATAAATCTTTTCTTTCACTAAATCTCCTAAAAATATTACCATTTTTATAAAACTGTTCTGGTTTCTTTGTGCAAATAGCTGCAAGGATATGTCAGTGGGTAGGTTCATTAAAAATTACAAGCATACACCATGACTGTGAAAAGTTCTCACAGCCTATTTCCTGCACATTGGGAAGGGCGCAGCTTTCCAGCGATGGCTGCCCATGAATCTTGGAGGCTAGCACCTGCAGATTACAGCCTCGGGCACAGACACTGTGAGAACAGTCCCATTTTGTAAAACCAAAAAGCTCTGCTGTTCTACAGAAATGTTTGAGACTGAGGAATGGACCTAGATGAGATAAACAAAACTCATAAACCACTGAGATTAGATAAATTGCTGGAGTTGTTTGGAAGGCTGGGCAGGAACAAACATTCTCTTCCTAAATGTAGTTTTCCTGCACTTGGGACAAGCACACTATCTGATTACCCAGGATGATTTATTTATCTTTCTAGACTGTTGACATGAAGTCTGAATTTCAAGCCCAAGAATAGGTGTACTTCCTGCTGTTATTTTCTTTGCAGAAATCGCTGACTTCTCTTGTTACCTTTTGTGATTGGTGGTGCCAACAATATCAAAGTTTAGTGTGCTCACCTCATCTGTAACAGTAAAACTTAGTAAGTCACACTGGGTTTGAAGTGTAGGTTCTGGTGTAATACTCCAACAATAAATAAGGTACCTGTTCTCTTTATAGTTTCTGTTACAGCCTTGTATTGGTGACATTTCAGTGTCTGTTTGATAAAGATTGTTCATACCAATAGCTCATAAAATTCATGCTGCAGGGTAAGTAAGTTCTGCTGAAAGCATTCATTTATTTATTTGCTTTTTTCACTGATTCTACAAATTGATATTATAACCAATCTCTTCCAGACAGTCATGTGGATCCGGGGTGATCATGGGGACTCAGGTGAAAAGAAAAAAAAAGAAGATTCTTGCTCTTTTAGAGCTTGTGTTTTAATTGGGGGGCTTTTGTGTAAAAGGTGAATAAAATGGACAAGAACATACCAGGTAGTGATACAGCTCAGAAGAAAGTAAAACAGGGAAACAATGAAGTGTGCCGGAAGCTGGCTGTACATGGTCTGGTCAAGAGTGGCCCCACCAGTGAGTTGACATAGAAGCTCATTGCCACATGAGAAGCAGGCCTCCAGGGGAAGATCTTATGCATGGATATTCAGACAGAGGTAACAGCTAGTGCAAAGACATAGCTATGATGAAGACCTGGAGTTGCTTACATCCTCTGCTCTGGACTTGCCCCTTGATTTGCTTGCACTTTTACTATTCAGACCCTCCCTTACCCTTCACATCCTTAATGAGAATTACACTGTTCAGCAACTATGCAAATATTGTCTTTAGCTAACGGATTCTGTAATGTCTTCAAGAAATTTCATATTTAGAATAATTTTACAAAATGATTTCATTTAAAAGTAGTTACTGAACAAACAGGTAAATTGCAAAACAATTTCCTAAATATCTTTCATCTCAAAACTTACTTTTTTAAAAAAATGTGCAAATATATTGTCTCTAAAAAACAAAAGAGGGAGGGAGGGTGGAAGAAAGGAAGGAAGGAAAGAAGGAAGGAAGGAAGGAAGGAAGGAAGGAAAGAAAGAAGGAAGGAAGGAAGGAAGGAAGGAAGACATGCAATTCTTTTTATGTCTGGAAAGATAGAGAACTGTTTCCCAAATGTGGTTACTTTGAAGCTGGGAGACAGATTCCCATGTTCATAAGGGGAAACTTCCAGGACATAATTTCCTAAATTATTTCTTTCACTGCCCTCTTGGTAGCTCAGTGTCACGGATGAGTGAGTTTACTTCACAAGTAAGCATTTAGCTCCCCAAGAACAGACTCTTAACCTTAGCTCGCCACGTGATTCGACTCAGGGTGAATGCACAAGATTAATGAGGACCTTGAGTGAAAACAGTCTCTTGTAAGGACAGCACTAAATCTTGAAAGGCTGCTTGTTATTGTTCATGGTGGTTGAACCCCAGACCAACCCCAACAAGGATTGGTGGTGGTGACTCTTGATCTGGGTGTATCTTTAATCCCCTTATCCTATTTCTCTGTTATTGACATTATGTCATTCTCTGTTGGAATCTATTTTTAGGAGATACTGCAGATCCTTGCATTTTCTCACTATATCTAAAGGTGAATCTTATCGTTTTTTATACCACTTATTTTCTCAGATGATCGGAACAGGACACATGTTACATCTGGCAGTTAATGCCTTAGTTCTAGTTTATTCTTTCTCCAAGTACTGTAAAGACTTTCTTTTGTAGCATTGATCTTCTAGTGGACAATAAAATGGTGAGGAAAAATGCTATCAACACCTCCCATTCTTCTCAATTTCCCACTGTCTCGTGGCTTTTTTTCCATACCTGTACCATTTTAGTAAGGAAAACACAGAGCAGTAATCATTAGGCAGAAAGGACTTGAAAGAAGAATCATTGGCAACTCATAATCAGCCAAGCAATAGCAACCAGAGATTTTTTATTGTCAGGCGAGACAGGCTGGGTAGAGAAGGCAGAGGCAAATTATAAATAGAGTATAAACATATACACAGGAGGAAAATCTGAATCTACTGCACGGCTCACTTTCCTTCAGTAGGCTGCTAGCGGTGGTCTCAGAAGAGCACTCTGATAGGCGAGCAGGAGGCACTGGTTTTATAAAACAGAATCTTCAAAGGACGAGGAAGGCAGGCCTGTGGGGAAAGAAAGCAGAAGTCTGGCAATAGGTCATGGGAAAGGAAGGAATCACTGTGGGGTTTGGGCTTGAAGAGAGAAAAAAGTAGCAGCAGGCCACAGCCAAACCTGTCATTAGCTTGCGCGTGCTTGCACATACACACACACACACACACACACACACATCACTGATCTTAGAATTGGTTGGACTGAATATTATTTTTTCCCCGTCTAGACTCATTTTCTATCTTATGTTAATAATTTTGCTGCTTCTCTACACTTAAGTCTTAAAACTTTAAAAAATCTTATAGTCCTGCATATGCCCCCAAAGTATGATGCAAAAAGAGTTCTATGGAGCAAATATCTACAAATACATCAGTTTTCTATCAAAAGTCACTTTATGGCAGACTGCTATTGGGTAATTGAGATGCACTTTACTAAACATATAACAGGTTTAAACTAGCAGATTTTATTAATACTTGTTTTTGTTTTTACAATCCAATTACCTGGAACAGTGACGTTTATTCAGAACAGGTTTTTTTTTTTTTTTGCTTTAATTTCAAAAAATACATTGATTATTTTGATGGATGTTTAAAACTTAACTGCTTTCAAAAAAATATTTCAAAAAATGATTCTTGATTTTTTTCACTTTTTGTGTGTATTGGTGGTGCTTTATTTGTACCACAGAAGTATTCATTTATACATTTAGAAAATGAGTAATCCTTGTTCATTTCTTCTTTGACAGTAATATGAGAGTATAGCTTTTAGGTACTAGATAACCCATCAAGAGAGGTTTTCATTCAGAAAATGTTAGAGGGTGCTAGCAATGCCTTAAATGAAAAGAGCTAATTTACCACTTTCATTTCCTAAGAGTGGGTATGGAGTGACTTAAATTATTTGCTCATGGTTTTGCATTTTGGAGAGCACTTGGCAGAATGGTTTGTGTCTGCTCTTAGCTGAGAATGAAGATTGCAAGTCCAAGGTGGCTTTTAGTTCCTCAGGGCCATTCTCCACATGGCCTTCTGTCATTCATAATCACAAGCTTCATACAAGGAGAATTACTCTTGAGGTAGTGAAAGCAGAAGGCTAGATCTGTTTAAAAAGTTTCACTTGGAGTGAACAGTACAACTTACACGACATTGTGTGGTGCAAAACAAGTCACATGGTCAGCCCAGATTCAGAGGGAAGGAGAAGGGTCTCCAAATTTTGTTGGGAGGAATTGTGTTCATTTACATGGAGGGAAGGAATTGTTGGGTGCTATATTTGGAGACCAGAGC